GGAGTTGTTGGCATTGGGCATCAAACAACAGTTCACTTGTCCCTATAGTCCTCAGCAAAATGGAGTTGCAGAGAGGTTTCATCGCACTATTCAAGCAATAGCTACCACTTTTCTTCAGTTTAAGGGCCTTGACAAGCTCTGGTGGGGTGAGGCAATCACTATGGCAATCTATGTTCGCAACAGGAGACCCACAAGGCCCCTACCGGATGGTGTAACGCCATATGAGGCTTGGTTTGGAATTAAACCAGATCTGTCTATGCTTCGTGTTTTTGGTTCCATGACCCAATACCGTGTTCCAGATGCAAAGAGAGTCAAGCTGGACAGCAGAGCTCATTGGGGCCTCTTCATTGGCATGAGCAACGAGAGCAAGGGATGGGTCCTTTGGGATCCCGTCACCAAGCGAGAAGTGGTTTCAAGGGATGTGGTCTTCTATGAAGACATGTCCCTTGCAAATTGGCACAAGTTTTCCTCTTCCTCCTCTCTACCACCCTCTCTCCAACAGGAACCAGCAAGAGCACCTGAGGAAACAACACAAGAGGAGGATGGAGATGACACCAATTCTGACCATAGCGGACCCATCATCGATCTCCCTCAAGCCGTCGTCAACGAGACCAGCTGCGCCACACCAGTGCCACCAGCAGCTACTCAACCAAGTGGAGATGTGGTTCAGCCGTCAAATGAAGACAATCCACCCCAAGAAGTCACCGTTACATCACCGCCAAAGGAGCAGCAGCCAACCGTCACCAACCAGCCAGCTACTTCAACACCAACCCCGCAAGTTCAACGTCACCCGGATCAGCCCACCACTACACCATCAAACCCATCACCAGCCGTCAATTCAGAGGCAACTACAGAAGCTCACCATCATCCAATGCAGCAGCAACCTACAGCTACAAGACTCCAAGTACCTACATCAGCACCATCTACAATTCTTCCTACCAACAAGACAACCATTACCGCAACATCTCGTTCTCACACACGTTCATCACTTCAGGTTCCAACGTCAAGCCAGCTCATAGCACGAGGATCACTTCAGCGAATCACCACCAACACCAGCTCCAACAGCCCACTTCTTCACCCAAGACCTTTCTCAACTTCACCCCCACGTCCCGGAATCGGCCGTCATCAGTTACCGCCATCTTCAACACCGAGAAACAGCGCCAATCAGACCGAACCGTCTCCAACTTTCGACAACGCAGCGTCATCATCAATTCCCAAGCTTCTAGTCTCAAGATCCCCACCAAGAGAATCTTCACAGCCAACTATGCCGACGAACATTTCAGCTTCACCGACACAAGTCACCACACCTATTCCTCAAGTCAACACCGATAATTGAGAGAGTTCCACGCCGGGAGAAGATCATGCAGTCGTGCCGCCGTCGCAGCCGATGTCGCAGCCATTGTCTCAGCCGCAGATGACCGTGTCAACGCATCCAACCACTGTGAGACCGAACCCTACCATTGATTTGTCTCAGCCAAGTGAGGCTTTGGGTAAAGGTAAACGAGTCCGCAAGGTAAAAAAGCCCTTCACATTCATGGTTGACATGTCATCAAGGTGCACATGTGAGGAGAGCGAGGATTGCATTCACAAGAAGGTAGAGGCAATATGCATGGCAGCGTCACACCTTCCACAAGAGCCATTGAGTCGTTGTGAGGCAGTGGCAAGTCCCGAGAGAGAGCAATGGTTGAAGGCCGAGGAAGAAGAGATTGAGAGTCTCATGAAGAGAGGTACATGGCGTCTTGTTGAGCCACCTCCAGGGAAGAAGGTAATTGGTGTCAAGTGGGTGTACAAAATTAAGGTAAAAGGTGATGGTACACTTGATAGGTACAAGGCAAGGTTAGTGGCAAAAGGTTATTCCCGAATTCCAGGTCTAGACTTCACCGAAACCTTTGCCGCAGTAGCGAAGTACACCACGGTACGAGTCCTCCTCGCCATAGCTGCATATCTTGGTCTCCATATCCATCAAATGGATGTCAAGAACGCATTTCTCTACGGTGTCTTGGAAGAAGAGGTATACATGGCACAACCCGAAGGTTATGATGATGGTACGGGTCGAGTTAGTCGCTTGGTAAAGTCCCTTTATGGTCTCAAACAGTCCCCACGGGTATGGTATCATGCTCTTGAGAAGGTACTCTTCAAGCACGGTTTCACAAGGTCCATGAGAGACAACGCGTTGTACTTCATGCACACGAGTGAGGGGGAGAACATTTGGCTCTTGGTATATGTTGATGATCTCCTCCGAGTCTCAGATTCTCTTGATCTCCTCAACAAGGTGAAAGGTATTCTCATGAGTGCATTCACAATGACCGATCTTGGTGAGCCGAGTCATTATCTTGGTATGAACATTGTGAGAGATCATAAGTCACGGTCCATCTTCCTATTCCAGCAAAGGTACATCCAAAAGGTCCTTGAGAGGTTTGGTCTTGATGATAGCAAGCCATCACCTACCCCACTTCCTACCAACTTTGTCCCTTTGTCTTCACATCAGCCCTTTGAGGAGAGAGAGTCAAGCCTGGATATCACGGATATTGAGGAGTTGTGTCTTGAGGAGAGTGAGCATCATGGTGAGAATTCACCCAAGGTATCCCCACAAGACCTAGCTCTCTACCAAAGTCAGGTTGGGTGTCTCATGTATGCAGCCCTATGCACAAGGCCCGACCTAGCATTCACGGTATCCAAGCTCGCTCAACACATGAGTGCCCCATCACCTATCCATATGCATGCAGCCAAGCGAGCTCTTCGGTATCTCAAAGGTACTTCTAATCATGGTCTTCTCTTCCAAGCCAGCCCACATGCAAGCTCCCTCCAAGGCTTTACCGATGGAGATTGGGCGGGAGATTTGAGCACACGCAAGTCCACCGGTGGCTATATCTTCCTTATGTGCGGTGCCGCTGTTTCTTGGCAATCGTTCAAGCAAAGTTGTGTGGCGCTTTCTACAACCGAAGCTGAGTACATAGCAATGACCGAAGGAGCAAGGGAGGCAATTTGGTTACGTGGACTCTTGGAGGACTTGAGGCAGCCGCAAACTCAACCAACTCCGCTCTACGTGGAGAACACTTCAGCTATCGCCCTCTCCAAGAATCCGGTTCATCATGGGCGTACAAAACACATCGAGGTGCAGTACCATTTCATTCGTGAGCAACTAGAGAAGGGAGTTCTCGCCGTCAACTTTTGCCGTTCATTCGACCAAGCGGCAGATTTCATGACTAAGGTTCTTCCACATGATGCATTCAACATGTGCAAGGCAAGAGCAGGTCTCATGACACTTCATGAAGCAGTGCAGCAGTTTGAGGAGAATGAGGAGAAGCAACATGGGCAGCAGCATGGAGTGTATGCCAAGGAGATGTAAGAGGAGAGTAAGAATGGGCGTATGTGTGCTTCGGGTCTGGTGCGAGGGGGAGTGTTGGAGAATCGAGTCTCTGCCGCCCCAGCCCTTTGCACACAAGGAGCAGCAAAAATGTCGGCGACGGATTGAAGGCTTCGCGAAAATTCAGAAACTTCCACAGCAAATCAGATTGCAGCCGAAGACTCGATACAGTTCGGGATTGCTCTCAAACAGAAGGGTCGACAGTTTCTACAGGTTTCTACAAAACAGAATCAGCTATAACAGTACATTCCAGAGATTTCTTATTCATGCACCTCATGTGGCTCTCAAGTCACTCAAGGTTCATGGAATCTGAATTGTGCCCAAGTTCCCAAGGAAGTTGCCTTGTCTAGCAGCCTAGTTTGAGCTATCAATATGCATGTTTGTAATGCTTAAGAAGTTGTGCTTTAGTGGGCTTGTTAATCTTGATCATAGTGAAGTTTTCTCTCATCAAGCCAAGTCCAGCAGCTCTGTTGAGCTTTTCCAGCCAAGTTTCCAGCCTACCAGTCATCAAAGCTACTCTGTTTTGCAAGTGATTTCAGCCAAACAAATCCCTGGTGCATTTCGTGCATATATCTCAACGCGTTCCATCCACCCTGACCCCGTTCTCCGGACTTACCACGTGTCGGCTAGAGATTTGTCCCAGACCTCTCTGCTCTTGTAGCAGAGGATAGCGTGTTCACACGTGCTCCCTTCGGGGAGCTGAGCTCTGCTTGTATCCTACTCTAGTTGCATGTTTGTAAAGGGTTATGACCTAATAAAAACCTTTAAAACCTTTAAAAACCTCCCAGACAATCACGTATTTCACGCAAGCTGGGCCGCATCCCGGGGATTCCTTGAGATCATCTCTGATGTCTACCTTGGGAGTCTCAAGAAGAACCTAGAGATGATCTCGCTCTTCTGATAGGTGGCACGTCGTTGAGGAGCCAGGTGTCATGGAGCTCAGGATGAATAGTTGGGCAGTTGGGTTCGGGGAAGTGGAAGAAGCGGTGGAGTTGAGCTAGCTTGGCGATCTTGACAGCCTTTTTTCTCTCCTTCTAAGAGCCGTTGGAGTACTTCCATATGAGTATCTTATAAGCGAGAAGGAAGTAGTGTAGAACCTGAAAGAGCGCATCTCCTGTTTTGGTGGCCGTTTGTCTATAGCGAAAACTGCAGCGCGCATTCCAGATGGTTTTAGCCGCTGCTCCCACGAGAAGGCTCCACGGGGCGCTTTGCCCAGCCGAGGTTGGTACCGGGAACACGGTCAGTTCAGGAGAAGTAGAGACACCTAAATGGCTCTGTGCTGAACGTTGTAAGGCCTTAATGATAGGTTTGGCGACTCCACATTCGAAGAGCAGGTGGGGCAGGGTCTCTAGCTGTCCGCTGCTACATCCTGCACAAATTCCTTTATCTCGGGCGAAGCTGAACCTGGACCCGGAAGGAAGCGCCAGTGTGTAAAGCCGAAAAAGTATATCACGCTGTGAAGATGGCTGCTCCGCTAGAAAGTCGTGTTTGTAGTCAGGAAAGAGTGGAGGACCAGGGGATGGAAGTAGGTTCGTCCATCTGTGCGGGAGCGAGAGCTCTTGTTGGACGTAGGAGAGATCGCGAATGGTTGCAAGGGTTGGCATGCCATCGGCTAACAGAGGAATTCGCGCAGCTAGTCCAGCCCCAGGGCAGAAAGAGCTGCCGAGCCACCTGTCGAAAACATGCACTGGCACCGTGTTGAATGTCGAGAGAAACTGTCGCGCCACGACTTCTTTTCCAATGCGGCCTGTTTCATCAACACCAAACACGTTAGTGTAGAAACCGTCTTCTGCAGGGATAGTATCTACTTCAAAAATGCTGTTGGTCGGGGAGAATATGTCCTTCGCAGGGAGGACCCAATCTCCTGCAGACAAAGGAACGAGGGTATGGGAAGAAGCGAGAGCAGCCCACCATTCTTTGGGCATTGCTTCATAAACTTCCTTAATAATCCTGCGGCTGCACGGGTATTTCCGGGGGGGGTATTGTGCCATTATTTCTGGGTCAGTGAGTCGGCGTGCTCCAGAGTCGTCCCGCCTTACGATGTGACCAACGCAGACCTGTTCAATGAGTAAGAAGGTTTCATCTTGAATGCGGCCAAAAGGTCGACCTCCCGAGTTGATGATGAGTCGATTAAAAGGCACCGGTTCTGCTAAAATGCACCAGAATTCAAGACGAGGAGGGGAGATCTCGATTTGCGCTTCAAGCAGGCATTTAACTTCTTCCCGAAGGCGGGTGGGGGTGGAGGGGGGTAGGGCAGCTACGAAGTCGGAGTGAAGAAGGAACCCGTGCAGACCGAAGGGAATGGGCACACAGGTCCTGGCTACTGCCGCGCCTGGGTGAGGGGAGAAGCGACGAAGAGCACGTTGAATGTTCAGAGCTTTGATCTGCATAGAGGGGCGAATAGCACCTAATCCTCCATGCTCCACCTTGTTATAGATGACAGCATGGGTGAGGAGTCTGGTGGTGCGGCCGGCCGACTTGAATTTGGACGCAGACAAGAAATTGCCGACGGCGTCATCCAGTGCCTTGGTGGTGGGGGATGGGGGCGGTTGGAACCGCCCAGGGAATGAAAGGGCGGAATTGAGATTTTCAGAAGCCAGCAGCTTCCTGCACGAAGAAGTGGCATGGAGGTTGGACAGGAGATTAGCAGAGCGCTTAACCTTGGCTAGCGCGTATTGCCACGTTGTGTCTGTGAGACCCGAGCTCCCCACATAGATGCCTAAGATTCTCTCAAACTTTGAGGGTTGTCTTATGAGGATGTCTCCTGCGCGGGTAATATCAGAAAGGTGGATATCGAACGGGATCAGAGAGCATTTAGCCCAATTGGGATGCTCTCCTTAAACCGAGGCATATGAGAGAAGGGCGTGAGCTGCTACACGAAGTTCTTCATCGGAATCGAGGAAAATCGTAACGTCATCCGCGTAGCATGCCAGCAGACGCTTCTGGGTACGGGAAATAGGGAAGCCAGGTAAGAAGCATGACGAGTACCGATGAAAAACCTCGATGACGCACAGGAAGAGAAGCGGAGCCAGCGGGCAGCTCTGCCTAACGCCGGTCTGGACAGGGATAGGGGGACCGCAGAGATTATTTACTGAGATGCAGGTGATAGTCCCAGAGTGCATGATTTTGACCCACTTGATGAAGGAAGAAGGGAGACCAATGTGAGCAAGACACTTGAACAAGAACTCTCTGTCCACCATACCGTAAGCTTTGCGAATGTCTACCGTGAGTGCGAGTAGAGGCAGCGCTTGAGCGGTGGCCCAGTCGAAGATGTCTAAGGTGTCATTGAGAGTGTCGCCGATTTTTCTAGATTTGATGAAGGCAGTCTGGGAATGATTGATGAGGGAGGGGAGTAGAGGCTGCAGTCGGTTTGCTAAGCAGATCGCCAGTACTTTATAGTCAGTGTTCATGAGTGTGATAGGTCGTAGGTTGTCGACTACGGTGGCATCGGTTTTTTTGGGGATCAGCACTGTTCGGCCCTGTAGCATGGAAGGGGGAAGGCTATCTTGGGACCCGATGAACAAGGAGTGAAGAACAGGTGTGAAGTGGGTGCGGAAAGTGCGGAAAAGCTCACCAGAAAGGCCATCCGGCCCGGGGGTCTTGCCTTTAGGAAGCGAAGAGATTGCCCTAGAGACTTCAGCAAGGGAGAAAGGGAGGGAGAGACGGGAGGACACGTCTTGAGACACTTGAGAAGGGGGAACATGAGACCAGAAGGAAGGGTCCGGGGTGACATGTTGAGATCCACTGTAAAGTTGTTGGAAGAAGGAGGTGCACAGCGAGGACATGCCAGGAAGGTCCGAGATAACATCACCCGAGGGGGATCGCAGGGATGAGATCAACGAGGCTTTGATCCTGCTATTGACGCAAACGAGAAGTGATGACACTCCCATCTCTCGAGGACCCTCGACCTTTAGCTTAGCTTTAAGCGCAAGTTCAGCGGCGCGGCTAGCTTCGTAGCGCTCAAACTGTAGCGAGGCGACTCGTAGCCTTTCTTTAGCTTCAACATCGGTTGGGTTGACAGCAAGATGAATGCGAAGTTGGCAAGTAAGGTTTTGAAGGTGCGCGTTGGTCTTTTTGACACAGATTTTTTCATGTCCTGCGAACGCTTTGATACGATGACAGAGGGACAACTTCCAAGGATCCCAGTCTGCAGCGGAGAGAGTGGCGGGAAGAGAACTACAGGCCGAGCTAATTAGATCAGCTAATTTTGGGCGTTTAAGGATGCACAGCGGGATGCGCCACAGTCTGGGGGCAATGTTGGGGCTCTCGCACTGAAGGGTGCAATAAGGGGAAAGATCATGTTCAGACACATCCATTGACACGGAGATATAGGCAGCGTCAAGTAAACGGGCCGCCAGTGAGAAAATGAGAACGAGAATGAATGAACTATGAACGAACTGAGTACAAGTACTAACCCTAATTGGGTTGTACCCCTTGTGGGCTACCCCACTATAGCCTACACAATATGCAAAAGCTATATGTTCTGACACACCCCCATAGGCAAAGTGGGGGAGAACAAGGGGTCACAAGACCAGTCAAGCAAAGCAAAGCAAAGCAAGCTCAGGGTGGATAAAAAAGTCACCACACAGTCCGAGCACAAGGTCAAGGCCACAAGGCTAGTTCACATGCAGGGGTAGACAGATATATATAAGGCTAAACAAGCAAGAGCAGGTATATATATATATGTAAGAGTACAAGCAAGGTCAAGAGGTGAGCAAGTGAGGCAAGACTGGGACAAGTCCCAGCTGAGTGCAGAAGCGCTGATGATCACAAGGCAGAAGTGCCTTGGTGAAAACATCAGCAGTGTTGGCCTCAGAGGCCACGTACGCAAGTCGCAACTAACCACGCTGCTGCAGCTCACGAGCAAGAAAGTAGCGGAGAGCAATGTGCTTCGTTCTGTGCTCCAGGCGCTGCTCACGACACAAGGCCAGCATGGCCTTGTTGTCTACGTACAGCACTGGAGGAGAACGAGGCAGCTCTCCAAGGTCGGTCAGCAGGTAGGTGAGCCAGCGAAGCTCCTGTGCAGCCATGGCCTCGGCGTAGATCTCAGCCTCACAACTGGAGCCGAGAACAGAAGACGAGCGAGTAGCCCGCCACGAAACAGAGCCAGAACCAAGACTGAAGGTGTAACCCTGGGACGACCGCTGAGTAGCCTGGTCGTCAGCCTAAGAAGCGTCCGCGTGCCCAGTGAGGACCACTCTACTCCGCCCTCCAAGCACTAGCCCCATGCCCGAAGTACTGCACAAGTAGCGCAACACCCTCTTCGCTGCAGCCATGTGCTCTGGTCTGTGTCTCCCGGAAGCAACATAGCGTGCGAGAATGCTAAGAGGGTATGCAAGGTCAGGTCGTGTGCACGTCATCAGGTACATGAGGCAGCCAACAAGCTCTGGGTACGGGCCACTCGACTCTACGGACTCATCCGAAGGCAGAGCTGAGAGCGAGTGGCGAGTAGACAGAGGAGTGGCCTGAGGCGAGGAGTACGTGAAGCCGAAGCGCTGAAGGACCTGCTGCACCATGTGTGACTGAGTCAAGGTAATGGTGCGGCGTGCTCTGTCCCGGGTGATCTGCAAGCCAAGGTAGCTGCGCAGTTCACCCAGGTCTGTGCACGTGTGTCTCTTCTGCAGCTCGGACTTCACGTAGGCGAGTCCAGCAGTGTCAGCTGTGGCAAAGACCAAGTCGTCGACGTACACGAGGATGTAGAACGGCGACAGAGAGGTGTCGGTGCGCAGAAACAACGACGGGTCGGCAGTAGAGGGAGCAAACCCAAGAGCCGCAAGCGTAGTCCTCAGTGTGTCGTGCCACTCACGTGGTGCCTGGCGGAGACCGTAGACTGGCCGTCGGAGGCTCCACTGGGTGCCAGGAGGGAAAGTCCCAGTGAAGCTAGGTGGACGGCGCAGCCAGATCTCCTCGTGCGGGCTACCCTGCAAGGAAGCAGTGCTGAAGTCAAGAGAGTGAAGCTCGTAGTCGCGCTGAGCGGCTATGTGCAGCAGCACCCGAAGAGTGGTCATCTTCGGGGTGGGAGAGAAGGTCTGAAAGTAGTCAACTCCCTGCCGCTGACTGAAACCACGAGCGGCGTACCGCGCCTTGAAGACAGGTGGAGAGCCCGGCGGCCGCTTCACCCTGAAGATCCACATGCCACTGACGATGTTCGCCCCAGGAGGGGGAACCGCGTCAACGTAGGTGCCTGTGGACTTCTAGGAAGCCATCTCTGCATCCATAGCTGCCTGCCACTGAGAGGAGTAGGGACCCTCTACGGCCTCCGCGTAAGAGCGCGGAGTCGGGATGTCTAGTGCATCCGGGTCTCCCTCAGGGGCAAGCAGTACGGACGCGAGATGAGGTGAAGCAGCAGCCAGACACTGGAACTCCTCCTGCCTGTCCTCAAGGACGTCCGTGCCAAGAGCACACTCACCCCCAACGGACGGAGGACAGACAGACGCAGACTCAGCAACAAGGCTAGCAGCGTAGTCTAGACGACAGCGAGCAGCAAAGTCGACGAGCTCAGCAACAAGAGAAGACGCAGTAGTGGACTCAAAAGAGGGGTCAGTGACGACAGTAGCAAGGAGACGCGTGACAGTAGGACTGGCAGCACGAAGAGTGTCCGACTCCGGGTCGGCCAGCGCAGGGAGAGAGGACTCAGGAGGAGAAGGCAAAGGGGCACGCAGAGGAGCAGTGGACGGACGCAGAGACATCCGGTGCGTGCCAGGGACAGGAGGAGGACGCTGACGCGAACCGCGACCACTAGCGCGAGAAGCACGAACAGGCGACGCGGGACGAGACGCAGGCTCACGACGCTCAGCAAGACCTCCAGTAGGACCAGTGTAAGGAGAGGGAGCAGGCAGAGGGGAGGCGGGCTCTAACTGTGACTGAGACCGGACAGGCAGTGGACACTCTACAGGAGGAGAAAGACCAAGAACCTGCTGCAGGAGCGGAACGAAGTACGGCCGAGGCCGCGCGGCAACTCCAGACACAGCAGGGACAGCACCAGCACCCTCAGAGGCAGCACCAGCGCCAGCAGCACCTCCAGCTGCAGGACCTCCAGCAGCACCAGCAGCACCCGCAGTAGGACCACCGCCAGGACGGACAGCAGTAGTCTCAGCACCAACACCCTTAGCAGCTCTAGCTCCAGTCGGACCCGCAGGCTCAGCAGCTCCGGGACCGCCAGCACCCTCAGCGGCCAAAGAAGCTCCAGCTCCAGCAGTACGGCTCCAGTGGCGAGTAAACCACTCGCGCAGCTCCTTTGGAGAGAGGGGCTCCCGCCGAGACAAAGCACCCGGAGAACGTCCAGACTCAGCACCGCCAGACGCCACAAGGGGAGGTCCAGCGACCGCAGGCTCCGCACCTCCAGGCTCAGCAGCTCCAGACGCAGCACCCCCTGGCTCAGCACTCCCAGGCTCAGCACCCCCAGGCTCAGCACCCCCAGGCCCAGCACCCCCAGTCGCAGTACCCCCAGGCTTAGCACCCCCAGTCGCAGCACCCCCAGACTCAGCACCCCCAGGCTCAGCACCCACGCGCGCAGCACCCCCAGAGTCAGTACCCCCAGGCTCAGCACCCGCAGCAGTACCAGAGTCACCAGCAACCTCGACCGGCTCGACTGCGTCTACCTAGGACACACCTGAAGGGGCAGGACCCTGAGGGGGAAGGGGGTCTACCGGGGGGGGACCTGGCACGAGGAAGTGCGGTGGCGGGGGGAGGGAAGGAGTGCGGTAGGGGAAGAGGCGGTAGAAGGGGACTGACTCGTCGAACGTGACGTCCTGGGAGGACAGAACACGACAAGAGGAGGGGTGGTAGAACTGCCACCCTGGTGCGTCAGGGGGGAAGCCAAGGAAGACACAGGGAGCAGCACGAGGGGACAGCTTGTCCGCAGACAAGTCGCGGACAAACGCCCGAGATCCCCAGACACGGAACGCAGACGCATCGCCGACCTTCCCCGTCCACAGCAGAGCTGGGGAGGTCTCCGGCCGGGAGACCATGGGGTGAAGGTTGATCTGATGCGCCGCGTACCGAACCGCAAATGGCCACAGAAAATGGGGGGAAGCCGCATGCATCATGGACGTACGAGCGACGTCCATGACCATGCCAATGCGGCGCTCAGCAATCCCATTTTGCTGTGGAGAGTCCGGAAGCGTGAAGGTCTGGCGGATGCCTCGCGCACAACAGAAGGCTCGCAGAAGGCCAGAGGAGAACTCTCTGCCTCAGTCAGAGTGCAGACGCAGAACAGGAAAGTCTGAGCCGAAGCTCCTCCTGAGCTGGAGACGAGCTGCGCGGATCCAGTCAATCAATACCGCAATGACATCACCCTTGCTGCGCAAGGGGAAAACTGTGGTGTAACTTGAGTAGTCGTCAACCACTAGCAGGAAGTAGCGCTCGTGACCCTGTCCACGGACGCGGGCCGGGCCCCACACGTCCATGTGAAGCGTCTGCAGCGGAGCCTCTGTCGGGGGAAAATGAGAGGAGTGAGGGGCAGCCCGGAGCCGCCCCTCAACACAGGGGACACAGGAAGGACCAGGCCCCGAAGGAAGGGGAGGGAGGGACTGGGGGAGACCAGAGACAAGGACACGGGAGGCCATGCCTTGAAGACGAGGCAGGGAGGGGTGACCAAGACGGTGGTGCCTCACGAGAGTCTCGTGAGACAGGAGGCGACACGAGCAGGGGGCAGACTCAGGACCAGACCTGGACGCTGCAGCAAACACCTGACCAGACGCAGCTACCTGGCCAGACGCAGAGACAGGAGGAGACGCAGTGGTCAGAGTGTAAAGACTCGACCCCGGCCTGCGTGAAAACGTGGCCAGGTGTCGTCCTGTGCGGGCATCCGAGCAATGGGTCACCCGCTGACTCGCAGGAGTGAACTGGTGAACCCCCGCATCCTGCAGGTCAGCACCACTCACCAAGT